TGGCCCATGGGCAGCTTGCCAGATAGTCAAATGATTTGATCACGCATGATTTGCGCCCCGCTCTGGTACCATTGTGCATTGCTGTAGTTGGCCTCACGGGAGCAGGGTTTTTGTGGCCCGGGCGAGAGGAGGATCAACACAGACGGAGTGATGCTAGTCACCCTAAATTAGCTTTTCTCGGCAGCCATCCCTCACCCTAAACCCCAATACCTAGACCCTAAAGGCCATTTGGAAGTTAGATCCGGGTAGGCAAAACTCAAAGTTACTATGCTATGACCAGGTAAGACCTGATAGTCCGCTATGATTGCTCTCACAGATAGAAGTAGTCTGGTGGTTCTGTAGCAGCAGATGACCCGTTTCTTTGCTCAAAACAATCCCTACATAATGCCTGAGGGTGAAACCGCCAATTCTCTCAAAGTCCCTCCGTGTCTCTCTCTCTCGCTCTCTCGCCCTCTCTCCCCCTAGCGTCTCTCGGGCATTCCCATCTCGAGGAGACCCTATATGGAGCTGAAGAATTCCAGCCGGCACCGATGAGAGGCCTTCCTGTGCGTGTCTCATACTGTACTAGCCTGAATAATTTCCGACCTTATTCGCAGCTAGTCTACAGTAGTGAGTGATGTAGGCAGTAGTACAGCAGAAGCATGGGCATACAACATCAAGTTCAGAGGGCCCATAGATATAGGATCATAGTATCGCGCTGCTCTTTTGCCGACCTCGGCAGGATCTTGCTCAGCATCGTTTCTTCACTTCGCGCGCTTACGTTGTAGGATTTGGGCATGTGCGGCTAAGCCTCAGCGAATAGTCTGCCTACGAAAAGATGGTCCTTTGACGCCATTTGGCTCAGCGAAGTCTTTGTAGTTTTGTTTCTGCCCCAAATAAACAGCTGCTGCAGCCGCGAACTCAGCTTGGCTGAGACACAAATGCTCAGCATCAGAATGCAGGCCCCCCACCATCTGGATCGCCCGTCACAGCAAATGAGAGGGGGCCGCGCACACTTCATGGCGATCAGTTGTCTAAGTCTACGGGCTTTCCAGACTTTCAGATCAGGACCTTTAGCTTGGGAGATCCCTATGCAGACATTCCAGGATCCCAACATTAGAGTACCCCAATATAGACCCCAAAAAGGGGGAAAGTCCTTATTATAGGGATCCCCAAAAATGTACCCCTGATTTTGGGAAACTCCCATTTGGCACATGTGGCTCATCAGGCTTTTGCAGCTCTAGGTCTGTGGCTTCGCGTCGAAACTTTTGGGGGGTTTGAGGTTTGAGGTCTGGAGTGTAGGAGATGGCGTAAATCAGCGATGTAGCTCCCAAAAGAGCAGGGTCCTGGACTTGACAAGACGGGCACTTTTCTTTTGAAAGAGATGTTTGTGTCCCTTATTTGTTGTACAAGTGAGCCTATTTGAGACAAAATGCATCCCAAAGTAGTAGTTTCCATTTCATTTGTCATTATCCCTATATAACTCTGTATAATACCCCTATACCCAGGAACCCTTCTTTTTGAGACAGCATCATCTCTCAAAATTGGGATCCCCTTGCTCTCTGCCTATAGCCGGGGCGGTTTCGGGTGTAGGGGTTTAGGATTTAGAGTTGAACATCTACCTTTTAGGGGGAATGAGCAGATGGATGTCCTTATAACTTATAACAAGGATTACTGTATTTTGCGGTCTATACGGGGGCTCCCCCCACTGAGAGAATCTACCATGTATTTTCCGTTAATGTTCTTCTTTATTGCGTTCCATGCTAATGAAGACACTGGAAGTATGATGGGATAATTTAGAGTCCTGTATATTCAGGAATGTTCTCTCCTGATACACACGCAGCTACTCAACAATATCGCCCATAGCCTACTCACATTATCTAGGCCCATACGTACAGTTCCGATACCCCCTGAAAGATCCTAAAATAAGATATACCCCTCACGCTCATTAATCTGGCACCTATTGTAGCATCAGTTCAAAATCCAGGGAGAGAGCCTTGTAGGAAGGAGTATTTTACTTTGGGGTCTCTATGTTGTGGTCCCCTGTTTATGCAAACTGCCGACCGTGGAAGATTTTTGGGATACTACCCAAAGGATAGAATCGCTCAGAAAGGGACATGAACAAAAACATGGAACCTGCTGAGGTATATAGCGGTTGGTATGAAGCAAGATTTTGACAACCCCTATAAACTCTATAGCAAACACTGAACCCAATCAAAAACCCTAAGCCCTACGGGACGTCCTATGAAAGCCAAATGGTCCTCATTTCGGGGGTTGGGTAGCCAAAGTCCTCAGGTCATGTCTAAGCCCAACGACGAGGGTCTGGTCTTCGAGACCTCCGAGGATGTGGAGGCAGATTGCCATGAGATGGTTTGACAAATGAGAAATCAACGTCTCTTCCCGCGTAACCCTGGTATGACTATAGTACAACATAGTATAGCCCCACCCCGTATTGTGATTAAACAGGCCGCTGCATTGTTTCCAAAATAGCTCGACGTGGAAAGGTGGGGCAGTGGTGTATGAGGGCTTTGAAGGGCCTGTTGGTCTATGATCGTTTTCGGACTTCACTCGGTTTATGTCTTATGGGCGGACGTGAAGAGAGTTGTACCGATGCGTAGACATCCGGAAACGGAGCTTACCCTCGAACCTTCTTTTGTTGGCCATCCCTCCAGCAATGCTCGGGAGAGTAGGATGCACACCGGCTCAGAAGAAAATGAGACTTATTCAGAATGAAAAGTTTCTACTCCCTACATAACTCCTATAGAACCTCTATAAACCCCTATTCAAAATAGTCCTTATATACTCCCTACACAACTCCTCGAACATCCTCGAACCCCTTTCTTGCGGCTTCGCTGCCAGACCTGCCCTAGGTGCTGCCTACCTTCGATGCATTGGGACTCAAGGAAGACCTTTTGCGAGGTGAGGGGCTGGGGTCAGGGTTTAGATATTTGGGGTTTAGGGTTTGGGGATTTGGGTTCGATAGAGATTAAATAGGGGTTATATAGGGATAATGGAAAGGATATAGGGTTCGGGGTTTAGTTTTGGGTTTAGGGCTTTGAGTTTAGATTTAGGATTGAGGTTCAGCGTGTGGGGAAAGGTTTAGTTTGGCTCTAGTTTCAAAGTATGGCACTTGGGATGCGCAGCCTGATGACCCAAAACATATAATTACCTTTCGTCCCCAACGCTTAAGGGTGACGCCGTTTTGGGTGTAGGGGGTACTTTCGAGCATCCCGTACTTTGGAACATGCTTGTGAAAGTCCCGCACACTAGGCCGAAAAGTCAAAGTCCTGGTAGTTTCCATAAATTGGGAGGCCTAAGTAAATGGACCTTGAAATACCAGAGGGAGTGTTATATAGGGCTTCCCAAGAAGAGACCTCTGTCACAGAACGCCTTGAATCCTGAATCAGCAGGTGTCTATGCCTACGGCCGGGCTCTCAGATGGTTGTTGAACCTTCCAAGATGCGTGTAAGGTGCATCTACCCACAACCCTTAAACCCTTAAGACCTAAACCCTAAACCCTTAAGCCCTAAACCCTTAAACCCCCAAACCCTTAAACCCCTAAACCCTAAACCCCTAAACCCTAAACCCTTGAAACACTGTTCTCTACCTGCAAGACTTAGCAAGTCCTGTAAAACAAGGTTTGACACACGTTGTTTTAGGGTTTAGCTTGTCAGGGTTTCGGGTTTAAGGGTTCAGGGTTTAAGGTTTAGGATTTAGGTTTAGGGTTGGTTTCCAAGAATTTCCATGCCATGTAGAAGCCTCAATAATTACCACTATCGTTTTCTTGCATTACTTGTACAACTATGGCAGAATACGCCCCCACAGCCTGTTCTGCTCATTTAGGTCCGTACATGCAGTCGCTATGAAACCCTGTATAATCCCAGATGCCATTTCATGTTCTATCTTCTTGCCCATCGCAGTCTCCATTAATCACCCCCTCGAACCCATATATCACATCCTTAAATTCCCGAAATTACTCAGGCTTCTACCGTCCATCCCCAAATGCCATCCTACAACCCTCAACCCTAAACCCTAAACCCTCACCTAGATAAACAAAAACCCTAAACCCTCAACCCTAAGCCCTCAACCCTGAACCGCATTCTCCAACCAAGGCTTCGAGCGGCCCTCGGCTGTGCAGCAGCGTGCCATCCTTCCCATCCTCAAGGGTCGAGTTGCTTGGCTTCAAGTTGCCGGGATGTATTTTTCATGGGGTATAGAGGGGGTATAAGAGCCGTAGTCTAAACTCCTTGAAGGGGGATAAATAGGGGACTATTACAGGGGTTCTTAAGGCGGATACTAGGAGTTTAGACAATGGCTTATATGGGTACGTAGCGGGTGTAGGGCCTGCGCTGCAGGGGATATGCAATCCCCGTTCTGTATGGCAAGCATGGTGATCAAGGCACAGGAAGTCGCGCAGGTCTGGTGCTCTCGTACTAATCCTGGCTTAGCAAGACCTGACCAATATCCCAGGGTGTTTCTCATTCCTGGCCCCAATACATTTCCATAGACGCTACAGTCCGTCCTACAGCAGCTACACGGGATCCTTGTTTAATTGGTGGATGCTACTATCCTCGGGGCTGTTGTGGTTGGAATCGTCCACCCTGATGTAGAGGCTTGAATGCTGACCAAGATCGTGAACTTATAAGCTTTGTGTTGTTGTAGTGTAATATGCACCTTAGACCCAATTCTAGTTAGATAGATGCCTCCATTCGTGCCCTAACCTTTCATGAAAAGGACATGGCATTAAGCATAGAAGGCTGGTAAGGTTTATGTAATGCTTGCTGACTACACATGCTGTGGAAGACGCAGCGTACAGTCGATCGTTACTCAGGAAGTTAAGGGCCTCGCAGCACTCTCTTGTGAATTGAAAGCTGCTCTGAGGGCGCAAGTTGCAAGCAATTTGTTGGGGGTTCTATTTCAATTAGAGTGGTGCAAATCGACCGTAGACCAATCACTGGCCGAGTGGCAGCTACAGTATGAGCAGCGGACATGTGTCGTCTCGACTTGACCTCGAACGAGCGATGCGCAGTAGATGCTGGACTTTGCGTAGCCAACAGAAACATGCGCCTCTTCTGGCAACCAAGGATGTGATCGTCCAATCGCAAAGCGGAACAGGAGGGGGAAGGGCTCTTAAGAACGTTCAGGGTGGGGGGGGGGGAGAGGTCATTCCACCACTTCACACCTGTATTGGGAGATGCAGCTGCTCCGTATAATCCTTAACCGTGTGGAAGGAAAGACCTGCGTCTTCTGCCTGGGTGCGCTGCAAACCGTTGACACATCCTCTCGGGAGCCTCAGGCCTTGCCAAAGCCTTCGAAGCGTGGACAATTCCAAAGATTATTAGGATTTAGGGTTTAGGTTTTAGGATTTAGGGTGAATTTTGGGGCTTGGGGTTAAGGGTATTTAGGGTTTTTAGGGGTTGCGTGGTGTTCCTAATATACCCCCTTGCGCTTCTAATCCCAGCACCATGGGCAGGGCTGTTGCATGAGTGCTTTGAAATTATGGGATCCCAGCTCCTCATTGAACCCATGCAACAGTCGAATGGGCCATAGTCTAAACTCCTTGGAGGAGGTCATATAGGGGTTTGTATAGGGGACTATTTTTGTTATTAGGGATACTAGGAGTTTAGACTGTGGCCCAAATGAAACCTCACCTGCTGAGTAGAGTTTTATGAGACGTTCAACCTTGTCCCCAGTGTGAAAGCACATCAGACAACATATGGGTGGTTCCATTATTCGGGGGTCAGGACTTCATGAAGAGCATGGTTGACCCCTCCGATACATACCCCTGTCGTCAAGAGCCCGGCATTACGAGTCACGCCCAAAACATAAGTCGAAACATACCCCATAACATACTCCAATCCGAACATGCTGTTTTGACAACAGTTTAGCCGGAAATGCCGAAATGAATGTAATTTGATACTATAGGCCGCAAAAACTGCATCATCCTTTTGGGTATAACATGTTGCAGTAAACCTACGCTCTTACTAGGTTCAACCACCGAGAAACAACATTCAAATGAAGCCACGGTTTGCGGATTGGCAACGACTGTGGAAGCCAGAGAGAGAATCACAATTCCCTATTGCTTCTGCCTAAATCTTAAGCCCTAAAAACGTTAAACTCTATAAACCCTAAACCCTACAGACCCAAAACCCCCTCAACTCTAAGCCCTACAAACCCCAAACCCTGCAAACCCTAAGCCCCCTAAACTCTAAACTCTAAACCATATAAGCCTTATAACTACGGAGATCGTTAATCTAGAGGCTCAGATCCTACTCTTCCTTTGTGGGCGCAAGGTTTGGAAATGAAGCATGTGCAGTAGTTTCCATTTTCTTCTCCATTGTCCATTATCTCCTATATAAGACCAGCTTCCATTTTTCCATTATCTTCTATGTAACCCCATTAATTATAACGCTTAGATAACCATATAATGTAGTAGCTTCCAATAACCTAGCAATGTTGGACTCTGAGAGTGGGCTAGGGCAGAAGCATCCAGATACCTGAGCAAGCCAGAAATCTGAAGCTCGGAAATTGTCTGCATGTTCCAGGCTGGGTCGTGGTGATGTATAGTCACCCTTAAGTAGATGGAGTATGGCTTTGGGTATACTATAATAAGATCCCCGTATACCCCATACGGGGGGGCTATAATTCTTAGTCTTTTTCGAATATCTTCATAGACGATGTTCTTATGGAAGCCGCTATGCGCCGAGCCTATCAACTTGCCAAATCAGGACGTTAATCCGTCACTGGGTTGGTAAGACATATGTTCAAGATTTGGGACTGCCGAAACGCTTACAGTCTTCAGATCCCGGTTTGGATTGCGGGTCCCCAAACATCCGCGCTTACAGCCATTTTTGGTCCTTCAATTCCCCTTGCCCCCAGATCCTACCAGGCCTCAATACAAAATCATTATCAGAATCTGAAACCCTCTAGGCTCCAAACTGAACTTGATATAGTAACCCTTATGGAGCCAGTATATAACTAGGAAGCCCGAAGCCCTTGAATCGAGGAAGATGCCCTAAATCATTTAAGGGGTCCTTGTACCATGCAGGGTATATTCCTCCAGGGGTGTCGAAACCCTAGACCCCTAAACCTCTAACCCCTAAACCCTAAACCCCCAACCCCTAAACCTCTAAACCCCAAACCCCTAACCCCTAAACCTCTAAATCACTAAACCCCCGGGTACAGGCCTTGTTCCTGTCACCCACGCGCGAGCTGGCAGAGCAGAGTCAGAAAGTCTGCCTGGCTCTGGGCCGCTGGGCTAGGGTTTAGGGGTCGAGGGTTTACGGGGTTTTGGGGGTCTAGGGTTTAGGGGGTTTAGGGGGTCTAGGGTTTAGGGGGTTTTAGGTTTTGGGTCTAGGGTTTAGGGGTTTAGGGTTTCAGGAGTTTAGGGTCTAGGGTTTAGAGTGGAGGAGCTGAGGGTTTAGCGGGTTCAGGGCTTTAGGGGTTCAGGGTTTAGGGCTTGAGCTGCTTAAAATGGGATGTAGGGGGTACATTGCGATTGTATAGGGGCAGACTATGTAAAGATTATGTCGGCTTAGGCGTTTTATATAAGCCCTAAACCCTAAACCCGTAATATAGGGGTATAGGGGGCATGTGCAGATCTTACAGGATTATACAAAGATCCATAAGGACCTACAGGGTTTAGGGGGAGAAATGGAAAACCAAATTCAGATGAAATGGAAGATGGGTATGTAGGGTCTTAATCAACTTAAATGAAGTCACCATGATAAGGCAAGCGTTCAGTATGGTAACTTGATTTGAGCTTCTTAATTTGGATATTGTCCCCACTCAGGAGCAGTTGAAAAGTAATAATAATAAGAAGAAGAATAAAATACGTATAACAATATAATTACATAACGCCCTTCATATTTCCGCTCGCTTCGAGTGTTACTGTGTGGGTGCATCAACCCAGCTTTTCGGGCTGAATATTCAGGCCTCAGGGCTTGGATCCGAGGCTACAGTTGAGGTTTTACGTCAAAGTGTCTAGGATTCCGGGCTTAAGGCTTCCAAAGGTCTACGAGGTTTGAAGGTTCTTAGGGATTAGGGGCTTCGGGGTTTCAGGATGCAGGGTCTGGGATGCGGGGTTAGGTCTTGGGGTTTGGGATCCAGATAGAGCCACATCCCCACCCACCTTGCCTGCAAGCTGTGGACTTGGGGTTTAGGCTTAGCATCTTCCCATCCGCATTGAGTAGCCTTACTTAAATCGTTTTTGCCAAGAGGTTCAGACATGTTCCATGTTGGGAGGTGGGTGTTCTCTGGCGGGGGACTGGAATTCAGGAATTTCAAGGAAGGTAAGGCAAACAGGGCCCTGGCGGGGCGATCCAGAGGGATGGGATTTGCACGGGCACCTGTGATGACGTAGCAGGATGTGGTTGGGGCATATATGGCGCAGTGCCATTATGGCTACATGCGCTTGTTGTATAGGGATCATGTAAAGCCAGCCTAAATGTTTTTACTTTCTTGAATAACTATAGCTAATAAATTCTTGGGGTCGTACTCTAGCAAGGACCCAAAAAGCGCCACAACTTCAACAAGCCTCAATATTCCCATTTGCCCCACTTTCCGAGGTGATTATCTCAACGTCCAGGTGCATGTCTGCATTGGCGGAAAGCGTGTGTCAGATGACATCCACACTTTCGAAGCCGGCGTGCAGATTGTCTCTGGCACGCCCGGACGTGTCTTTCACATGATTCAGTGACCCGGCCAAGATATGATAAAAGGAGGAAGCCAGCGGAAGTTACAGGTATTTTTCGTGGCCTTCTCCGTGTGCCATAGGGGCGGGCGTACGTCTTTGCTCATGTCTCAATTCCTCTGGAACTGCTCCACTCCACCTCTTCCGGATTCTATAAATCCAGAAAATGCATCCCCAGTTGCACAGACAGCCGCACGAACAGCGCCCTTGCTACCTGGAGACTTTCGTAGAGCTGGGGAGGTGGCAGCATAGATCTTTTGTATGCCTGAGCTGTACATTTTGACCATCTGACCATCTGAAAGCGCGCGGCCGAGGCAGCGCCACTTCAGCACACGCCACATCAAGATGTTGGTTCCTGAGCTGCACATGGAAGCATTGTGGTCTCTTTCGACAGTGAATTTTGCTACAGATTGCCTAAGGGGTTACTTTGACATTCCAGGGTTAGGCAGAGGAGGTCGGGAAATCGCTGCTGAGCTATCTAGGCGCGCAGAAAATACACACGTACATACACGAGCCACACCATGGGGCCCTAAGGCCCTAATTAAGACCTAGACCTAACACCCTAGCCGTGCAAAGAAATGAAGTTGTTCAGAATCTTTTGGAAGGCAGATTTATCCCAGGGCCCTTGTAGGGCTTCCATACATTTGTGTAACGTGTAAACCGACCCCCAGGCTCCTGAAGCAAAAAGCGTCCTCAGCGCTGTACCATTGCATACATAATGGGAGCAATACTGAATACTGGGGTTAGTGAACCCCTCAACGCTTTACCCTAAACCTGTGTCTGTTCAGTCAACAGCGCAGGTTTTGGACGAAGCCGATGAGATGCTGAACAGGCCAGGAGGTTCAGATAAGATTGTATTAGCTGTAGTAAAGTAACAAGAGTAATAATGATGCTATAGAAATATTTACGGGGGCTGAATACAATTGAACAGACATCATTTGCGGAAACTTGTTTTCAGAATCTTCGGGTGTTGGTTTCTATCCATGACCTCAACGAGCTAGCAGTAGCTGAACACTACTGTGAGTTCCCCTGCAGCTCACTGTCGCCCAAAACAATGGAAGCGTGAATTGAATAATGATTTTGCCATGCCGTAAACCCTAAGCCATCAACCCTGCTGCTGCTTGTTGCCTGCTGCCTCTCAATGAGTCTTGAGTATCGGAGTTTAGGTATAACAGAGACTTTACATATCTGAACCCTATTGGGACCCTGTTATCATGTCACAGTATAGTTATGCGGTCCTCATTACAGGCATTGGGGTACTCAAAACCCCCCTCTTTCGAGTTTTTGGTGTTGGGCTTGCAAAGAGCCGTGTGTGGGTCTCTTGGCATCAGATAAGTCAAAGAGAATAATGGTGATCATAAAAGTAGTAAAAACGGTGATAACGCCCAACATAGTAACAACATCATTAACAACAGTAGTGGTACCAATATGACTACTTATTCGGGTTTTTTCTTCTGTTAGCACTTGGCTTGGCACCTCAAATTGCAGAGCATCGCCCCCCGAATCTAAGCCCATATGAGGCTCGTATGCAGAGTCTTGAGATCCAGTTTGGTGTTATTTGGGGGTTGTGACCTGCAAGGGTTATATTTGGGTTGTACGCGTGACATGCTTCTGTTCCTTATCGCGGTTACATGGATTCCATGGGGTGTTTTGAGTGGGGAAAGGGTCGCGCATGACAACTAATGTCACAGACATGCTTCGCAACCTCTAAGCGCCCCCGTTCCTATCCCGCCAGATTTTTTGACAGCTTCTCAGAGTCAGTACGATATGAAGCTTACTGGTTTGGGACCGAGTCTTGAAAAACTTGCATACGTGTTTTGGAGGGCAGGGATTCGTGGACAGGTTTCGGGTTTAGGTTGTTGGGCCTTACTTGCAGATGCAAACCCTGAACTCAGAGCCCCAAACGTGCTTGCTTGCCAGGGGCTTCAAGGAGCAGGTCTACGACATTTACAGGTATTTGCCGCCTTCCACACAGGCTGGCTGGGACTGGAGTAGGGAGTGAATAAGCAGAAGCGAGTTGAAGCTTCCTCTGAAAGCCATATAGTAGTTTCCATAAAGAGGAGGACCCCAATATAGAATTCCAACAAGGGACCCCTGACTTTTGCAGACTCCCAGATTTTTGGGTTTCATCTCCCAAAGCTTTTGTGCATTTTGCAGAGAAGTCTGCCTGGGTCTGTGGATATCGCAGCCCTATGACTGAGCAGGATGCCAGCCCTTGACCGGAGGCAAGCAGACAATTTCACAAAACCTGCAGCAACAGAACTCAAGAAAACATTGCCTTGATAGTTGGTAGTTTTCATATGTAGGGGCCTCAAAATAGACCCGCCAAAACGAGAATCCTCATTGTAGAGACCCCCAAAGTGTACCCCTCAAAAAGCCCCTAAACCCTAAACCTTCAATTCATGTTGTCTTTTGTGGCCTTGTCTGCTGCTGTCCAGTTGTTTCTGAGTATGCCTTGAATACCAAAGCACCTGATCCGGGGATGACGTAGCTCCAACAGCAAAAACATTGATGATGATAGCAATCATAATGATATAGTCCCCCTTAAGTAGATAGAATATAGGGTTTAGGGTTTATTCAAAAGGGATAGAATATGGCTTTGGGTATATTATAATAAGATCCCCATATACCCCAGATTCTATCTACTTAAGGGGACTATATACACATAACAAAGCTTCTACCGCTGTTGCTACTACTTCTGCTGCTGCTGCTGTTGGGTCCGTGCTAGTTTCGCTAAGCCATGTAGGCAATTTCGCTGGCCCTAGGCTCTGAGAATTGCAGTACATTAGGGCTCCAAATAGCCCAAACTAGGTAGTGTGGGAGTTTCAGGAAATTGGGAAACTCTCGTTTGGGGCTCCCATAATATTGTCGGCACTCTTCATACTTTAGGGCCCGAAGTAGAGCGCCAGGGGCAACCGCTTTACTTTATTACATGGTAGCGGTAGTCATAGTAACTGTTATTCTCTTGCAGAATCCTAGATGGGGGTCGACTTCTGCCAGTAGGATCTACAGGATCCTAGTAGAACCATACTGACCACCTCCCCCTAATATCAAAATCTCCCACACCCCTCGCATTGAATATTCCCATTGTGGTATACTATGTTATATTTGCAGTATTTCATATTCAGTGGAAGGGATTAGGAGTAAAACTTGTCAGAGTTTGGAAGTTCAGGTGGTGCTCGTCTCTGCCACCATGCCGCAGCCCGTCTGGATGCGTAGTTCTGAAAAAGGGGACCCTGTTATATACCCCGAAGCGCCGTTATGATAGGGGCTCCCAAAAGAACCTGAATTTTTGAAGTACCCCGTATGCTAAGCGGAAGAAAAGAGGATTGCGGACTCTGCAAGGATTTTCTGAAATGTGCAACGCCTTCTATCCCTGTAGAGCCCCCACAGTAAGGGCACCCCTTCTTCAAGCAATCCCAAACCCTGCACAATCCCCTAGACCCTGAGCCCTCAACCTTAAGCTCTAAACCCTACACCCTAAGCCCTACACCTTAAGCTCTCAACCCTAAGCCCTAAACCTTAAGCTCTAAGCCCTAAACCCTAAGATTGCAGCCAAGGCACGAAGTCTTGGAGATGACGCACAAGTTTATGCAGCCTGGCAGCATGGGGATATGTAGCGGTTTGCTGTAGCATTTGTGGGGTCTACATTGCGGTGCGCGTATGTTGGGAAACTACCATGTAAGGAATGGAAACGTAAGTTGAAAGTAGCACCATGTTCGAGGTTTGAGGTGGATACTTGCAGTAAAATTATTGGGGTACGTCTTAGAATGTGATTGGGAGTAAGTCGTTGTCTTTGTTCTTGGTGGCCAGCCAAGTGACCAGCCAAGTGACATTCGTTCTCTGCCTTGACAAGCTCTTGCTGCTCGCTGGGTTCCTTTTTAGCTAGCTCGAGGCAATAACTCCAACTTTTCCAGTTTTCAAGAGCTCTTCGCGCGAGGTCGTTGCTTCCATGCCCATAGTGGAACTGGGGAGTTTAGGGAAATGTTTCCTGTGTCCTGAAAGGGTACCACTTGCTCCGTTTTCCCGTGCGCTTCCCTAGGAGAAAGCTAAGCGCTGATCCTTGTGACAACCTGGCACAGCTCAGGAACAATCCTTTCCGTGTCTTGGTGAAGCGCGATGAGCTTCTTGGCTATGCTAAGCGAAGGCTTCCACTGTAGTTCTCGTAATTATTCGTAGCCTGTACTCCCACTTACAACTACCTACGAGCCTCCAAGCATGCTCTGAGGAGTCGGTGGACTGGCGGCCTTCTAGCTAGCCGCCACCATGTTCCCTCACTAGCACCTAAACGGACTTCATATGCATGCAGGCCTTCATGTCGATTGAAAAAAGCGCTCTGCTCCAGTGGGTGCAGATCATTTGGGCACAGAGAGATACATTGTACATAAGATCCAGGGCATATACATATAGATGCTCGTTCATACGCATAATATCTGGAACACCCGTTTCGGTCATGAATTCGGTTTGGGTTGTGGCGACCAATACCGGATGCGCATGCAGGAGTAGTAATTCTGAGACACGTCCGTCATGGAAAAATGCCGTCTCTCTTTCATGGGATGACCCAAACGTGTCCCATAGTTCTGATTAAGTACAGTCTTTTGCTTCCAGTGTCTTGCTTGATGTCTGGGTTCCCGAATTTTCAGATTTCTCTCTTCGTTAGGGCCTTTGCAGGGGGAACCGTAGAGGGGGTTAGCATATAGGGCTAATTAGACGAGCCCATGGTTGCTGCAGCAACAAGCCTAAAACCTGAACCGCTCAAAAAACTTGCAAGCTGGAGGTTGACGTTGGAAGGCATCAAGCAGTTCTTCGTCGCAGTCGAGCGCGAACAGTGGCCCTGCGGATCAGGGGTTTCTGATAGTTTCTGCCCAGTTGATTTTCCTCTGCGCTCGAAGATCCCCTTGTATCCCTAGAAATCAAGAAGGCTCTTCCCATAAGTTTGAACATGCAGACACATACGCGGCCACAGCCAGACGCTGCCCTGTTCCACGGTTTCATTTCAGTACTGCTGCATATCTGATATAGGATGACAGCAAGACAGGAAAGTAAGCCTGCCATGCTTTCAAACCATTGTAAGTCAGAGATGGCCCGCCAGGGGTAAGCTTACCCCCCTATATCGGGATCCGAAGCTCTTCTTCATGCTGCCTTCCTGTTGTGTAGCCGTGCAGAAGTGATCTCTCAGGTGGAAGTTCGACACGCTTTGCGATCTGTGGCTCGGTAGCGGACGCCTCTAGTACTTGGTCTTGGGGGGGTGCGGTAGAGCGAGCTTGGGGGAAAACAGAAGTAGCCCTTCCCAGGTTGCTGTTGTGCTCCAGCCTGCGGCCATAACACAACTTGAGCATTGAAAGTAAGATGAATTATGTGAACTAAGCTGCAGATATCAGAAGAATGGTTGATAGGCTCAATCTTCTTGCCGGCTGGGAAGTCCCAGAAGCGAAGTTTTCTGACATGAGGCTGTCATATAGCTGAATTTGCATTGCTGCAAATCAGCAGTCTCCCGGAAAGCAGCTCCTCCACATCCAGTTGGTGCATAAGACTGGACTTACAGGGATCTTAAGTAATGCCAACATCACCCCATCCTTGGCAAGGTACGACACCTTGACGATCACCCAGGCAGTGTCTCAGAGAATGTGCATGTGATTTTTCAGATGTGCCTATGTATACGCACATCGCGAGACTTGGAGACATACCTAGAGATTAGATATAATAGAGCAGAAAGAGCCATTTTCATGTATGTACGGAAATCTGAGTGGCAATGTTACGCATACGAATAATTGTATATGCTCACAAAGGGCCGGGATTTCTCACGGGAGCACCAATCTCCTGTTGTAGTTAGTGGAGGTATCCTGAGGTGTCTTTGTTGGTATGTACCTGCGTTGGGGGTTCCTGCAAGGCCTTTGGCTGGCCCTTTCTTACGTCAGGAAGAGTCAAGCATAATGGCAAGTTCAGCGCTAAAGAACCTAGACCCTCCTCCTACCTTCTATTAAGGCCTAAGTACCCACTATTGGGGACCATATATCCCCAATTAAGGGTACAGGGAGGGTCCTGGAAATGGTGACCATGAGTTGACTACCGACTCCTGGTGAGCACTGCATACCCAGACCCTCCTATATAGTTCCTTTTTGGGTAGTATATTAAAATCCCGTACCAAAAAACTATAACAGACCCAAAAAGGAACTACATAGGAGCCCTTGGGTAGACGTGCAGGCCGTGATCTTCTGCAACACGAAGCAGAAGGCCGGGGACGCTCGAGGGGACATGGTCTTTCTTTTGAGTATCATAGTAGTTTCCATCTCATTTTCCATTTTATTTTCCATTATCCCGATATAACCCCAATGAACGGTGTGGTAGGTGTGGTCTGAGTTCTGCCTGCCTGTAGTAGGGTTCTAGCGTCATTGCAGATGTCTTGAACGAACAAGGGTGCCCTGATCCAGATGCAGAAGATCTTGCACCTCAGGACCATAAACAAACTGTAGTTCCTGCAAGTCGGGTATATAGGGTGGTGCAAGGTTTTCTCCATTCACCGTAGGTAATTTACGTTTATGAATGTTCCTGCGAGGACGGGGGGGCAGCAAGAGTTCCTTCTCAAAAGCCTGCGTGATTCCGAAGCTGCACTGTCCACTTGCAGCACACACTCTGGCATTCTGTGAAGGGCTGCAGAAATCTGTAATTCTGAGGCCGCAGGCCTAGACAACCACAAGTTACAACGACCCAAGCCCTTGCCGGCTTAGATCGAATATTTGGATTTCTGACTAAAATCGTTTGGACTGCTGTGTGGGGCTATTTGTTCTGCCAGCTGGATTATTTGATGCGTTGAAACGGACCTAGTTTCGAAATGTTTCTCATGTTGAGGATTCAAAGCGACCCTGACGAGGTGGATTGGTTGACACAGAAGATGCGCGACGCCAACTTCACCGCTCCGACCTTAATACGACCTCCGAGCATATGTCGAGGCATATTCGGGAGTAAGACAGGATAAGAGACAGTGACAGGGCTTTGAGGGTTTTCGACTGTAGAGTGGAGCAGGCTTGCCTTCCCCGTTACGTGCGTGCAAGTGACGGGTTTCAAGTCGGCCTTGGCACCTGGCACCAACTTTCCACCTGTTTCTTCTTTGTGGGATCTGATGGGGCATAGCCTCCGGGGCAGCATTAGAGGCAATCGACATGCCAAAAAGAACCGGCGGCTCTTAGAAGTGCAGTGAGTTGGGACACTTCAAGTGTCTACCAAGACCCTCCTATGTGGTTCCTTTTTGGGTAGTATATTAAAATCCCTTACCAAAAAACCATAACAGACCCAAAAAGGAACTACATAGGAGCCCTTGGGTATAAAGCAGCAGTCATCGCAGAGTTCTGTATCGTGCTCGTCGGGGCAGGTCCCTTCTTCGGCAACTGCCCTGAGTAGCCTGCATTGCTTTACGCTTGCGGGGCTGGTTTGTCAGCTGAGAGCTTACTTTGCTAGAAATGGGTTATTGTGCCCGAGGCCGTTGTTTTCCCAGTGTGCCAATACTGCGCTTCAGTTTCGCGCGCCGAGCAGCAAGTGAGGTTGCGGCTTTGGACTCTCCACGAAGTGGCCGGGTCTTAAAATCTATAGGGATGCTCCAGGGAAATCCTTGATTTGGATATGTCCTGATCATGGCTCTTGCGCCTCCATCCCGTCCGGCTCTTCACCGCAAGGTAAAGAGAACGGGAAGAGCCTGTGCGTGCGACATGTGCCTCATCTACTTACTCAATCTCGATGAGATCCCTGCACGAGACTACGCATTGGGTGGCTTCAAAGTTTCTGATGCGACGCACCTCCAATGCTCCCTTACGGTTTTCAAACTCCAACTCTTCAAGTGGCAATGCTATTACGTGCGCATAGGACCCGGGGAGGCTTCACCCTGCACCCTTAACTTTGAACCACAGGTGCCAGTAGTTCTCGTCAACGCATGCCGTGCCTCAATGTAGTCTTACAAGTCCCGGGCTAACTGCTGACGGGCCATCCTGCACAGTGCTGTGCAGGTTCAGAAGAGGGAGTTTATCGAACCAATCCCTACATGAGCTATAGTCTACACTCCTCAGTGGGTTTATATAGTGATTATATAGGGAAGTAGTATAGGGCTTATTAAGGGGGATACTAGGAGTTCAGACTATGGCTGATATGACCCCACATCACGATCCCCATCATCCCCTCCGAAGTCCCCATATCTGCCATGGTCCCCTCGGGTATCCCTCTTTTGCGAAACTTCCTAAGTGACGTGACCCTGGGCCAGCTAGGTTGCCTCCATCCATGGCGACATGCCGCAGAAGGAGCGAGACGCCATCATGCAGCAGCTGGAGCCCCAGTTACCACCATGGGACCATGGGCCATTAGACCCTAAAATTCCCAACTAGGGCCCTATTAAGGTTAGATTAAGGTACCCTTAAGGTCTAATAGCCCATAGTGGTACACAGATTGGGGAGTTCAGGGGTTACGGGCTGGGGTTAGTGGAGGATTTAGGCCCCGGTGGCTTGAAAATTGAAACAGCAAGTGGAAGTGATTCTAGATTGTAGCCATGGTGACAATTTGTAGGAAGGGTTGTGAAAGTCAAGAGTGCCCGCATGTGGCAGCTTGGCACCCGCTGGCTAGGATGGTTGAGTTTAGTAGTATGAGAGCTGACAGAATCCCAAATAAGCACCACAGAATCTCCCTCCTACTGCCCATACATCTTTGAGTTCAATACAGAACCCGAGAATCGCCCATGATGGTGATCCTCATCATGACCATAACCATGATGATAAACTGATGCCCCTTTCAGACAAGCTGCTAAATGCTTGTTTCGCTGCCAGAGACAGGTTGCAATGCAAGCAGCAGGAAAACCTAAGCAGCTGGTGATAACAATGACAGCAGAACGTTACATTGGCCAATGATGGTTGTCATGATGATGTGTATGACCATGATCATGATGATGATGTTGTTGTTGTTAGTTGATGATATGGTGGCGATGATGGTAATGCTGATGGTTGTGCTGCGGCATTGAACAACATGTTTTCGACGATGACGGTGACATCCCTGGCAACCTTCTTTCTCAAGGCCCAACCCTACTGCTATTGATGCGTATGAACCCAGAGAGCCCAATATTCTTTAAGTAACGAACATACCCTAAATGGCACTAAGCTAATATAAATTAAGTTATGCTCCTTAACTAAGGGGTATTGGGCCCCCCGGGTAAATGCTAGCAGGTTCCGTTCGGGCACGAGCCGAGTGCTGATTTCCACGGACCTGTGGGGCCGTGGTTTGGATGTTCAGCAGGTGGGGTGGTGCTGCATACATGGGTTGTCCGTATTCTTTAAGTTGAAGTAGTTTGGCTGCAACTATTTGAGCTTGAAATTTAAAGCATACCAGCAGGGATATGGCCTTGCGAGCATTATAAAAAGGGTCACTATAGCATGGCATCATTTTCAACTGCAAAGATCCGGAGGGCGAGGGATGTGGACTTTGCTCTGAACAGTGAATGGGCCCACCGTGTGGACGCTAGATACTCAGTGGGACAAACGCTCCCGAGGTTGCATATTTCCAAAGTGCCTAGAGGAAAGAAAAGTTCTACAAGCCCCAACCTCTCAGCAGAGGTGTTTTTGACATCTGTGTTGTTGGACTAATGCACGCCGTACACCCCTTTTCCCTCCGTCCTCTTCTAGACTATAGAATCTTCCGGCAGGTGTCTCTGGTGATTTGCTACGACCTTCCGAACAATCGTGAGCTGTACATACACCGCATTGGCCGATCGGGACGTTTCGGTCGAAAGGGTGTCGCCATCAACTTCGTGAAGCTGCTTAGCTTTGCAAAAGTGTTGGCAGATCAAAGAGCTTGTCGCGGCGATATAGGGGACATATAGGGATTATATAGGGATGATGGAAAATGTTAGGGTTTAGGGTTTTTTTGTTCAAGTCGTGTTCCAAGTGTAAAATCAGCAGGCTTTGCTTGTGGAAGGGGCAGGTACAGCAGCATAGGCCCAAGCCAGTTAGACTTTTGTGTTCGCAAGGAACGACGACATTCGTATCCTGCGAGATATCGAGCAGCGCCGGCCTCAGATGCTCCAAAAAAAGCTTCTAACCTGGGCTTTGTGAACTCCGAGAGCTATCGATATCACAATTCGCAAATAGGTGAGTGGTTTAGGGTACTTGGGTTTGGGGTTCAGGGTTTAGTGTTTAAACTTTGACTTTCTAGTTGAAGAGTCCTTGCACGATATGTTACTGCCGCATGTGTTGCAGAACACGCATGACATTTGGAGGGCTCATGGGGTTGCGTGCGCGTGGTCGGCTTCCCTCAGTCATGGCATGGCCATGTGTGTCACTTTGCTGGTTGTGGCTGAGCAATGGTCTCGCCCGAAGCTTAATTTTGTCCGGCAGTCATCACGTCCAGATTCACGAGGATTTCGAGCTGAAGGAAGCACGAGCAAGCACACATTGATAATCCCAAAAACGTCGAACACCGAAAGGGAGGTTGTCAAGATTATGATCCCTATCGGGGCCCTCCCTTAGCTGTAGGCTACCTTATCCAAATACATCACTGTGCGTTTAAGCCCCCAAAAATGGTTGGGTGCTCCTTGGATTTCTGTAGTTTTTTTTTGTTGAGCTGCATACTGAGCAGGCCATACCATGCCGTGCGACACCCTTCCAGCACGACGTGTTTCTATGTGAAACTCGTTAACTAGCACTACTTGCCACGGGCAGCTGACATGGGCCCACCAAGAAAGCTGCTCTGAGGTTCTACTCTACCCAGATTGATGAGATGCCCATGAATGTGGCGGACCTCATCTAAACGCGTGGCGCAGTGCTCAGCGGAATCTCTAAACTCTGACACACACACACACACACTGTGAATCTTCTTGGCAAGGCTGTCATGCACTTATTGGAAAGCCCTGCAGGACGCATGGGACACGATTTCCCCATTGCATGAGGCTTGATCATCACAGGAGAATTTGAGCAGGACAAGTAAAACGTAATGAATAGGGGCAAAGAGGTAGCTGACTGTCTCTGCTGCTTCTTGTGTTTTCTTGTCGCACGGATCATGGCTGCATGGCGTCAGTCCCCATGTAAGCCAAATGGACGAAGTTGGTATGACTGAGGTCTTTCCCTCCACAGGCCTGATCCAGACCCCCTAAAAATCCCCACCAATCCAACACCAGGCGTGCTTCACGTATGTCAAGTAAGGATCATGACCACTTGGCCTGGGGTACCCATGCCTGGGCTGTCCGACTAGCATGGCGTAACGTAGTCGTTTAAAAATTATCGGCAAGAATGTTTAAAGGGAGCTTGAAGATCCAAAACATCATAAGGACGCCATAGCCATAGCCTTCAGTTCTCAACCCACAACACTGGACATTAATCTCTCAACCTTAATCTTCGGATGCTGCCCCCAACCAGAAACAGCTGGACCAGCTGGATATGTAATATGATTATAGAAGGCCCTGAATATGACCCCTATAGACTGTAACTGGGTGGGGGCACAAACCAACTTGGGCCCCTCAACATCAACTCCCGCAAGGTCACAAGCCTCAAGCCTAAGCTCTCCCCCACCAAACAGGAATCTTGCTTTCTCAGGTGCCAGCCTGCGTACAGGGCAGCCAAAACAGCCATGGAGTTAAGCTGGGTAGGAGAGGCAGGGAGATCCCATGTAGAGGGTCTAGGAGAATGTAGACTCATGATTAATAAACCCCCTCCTTTTAAGGGCCTTAATATTAGGATCTCCATTATCATCCCTGTTAAGGGGAGGGGGTTTGTTAATTAGGGGTCTGGGTTATAGGGTTCAGGGCTTATGGCTTAGGGTTTAGGCTCTAGCTGGTCTCATCTGTTTAGGTTGTTTTCGGCGTTTTGTGGAGATTTCAGGCGCGTGTCCACGAACCTGTTGTCTAATTCTATCTGGAGCAGGGGAGTGCATCGCCCGGCAACATGCTCAGCCCGGTTGCAAAAAAGCAGGGGAGTGAAATGGGGTCTTGGCTTCATGGCTGCAGAACTTGTACTTATCACATGAAGGTCTGAGGAGCAAGCAAGAACTGATTTGCCACAGCCTTGACATGCTTGATTGACAGAAATTCTCCTGGTCTAAAGCAGATATTGGAAGTTCATGCCCCGTCTTACCATCGATCGCGAACATCATGCTCTAGCCCAGGGAAACATCTCAGTATGCTGCCTATCAGCATTTCAAAAGCTATTCACAGAGTCTTTCCGGACAGCTTAGACAGACATGACAATTCATTCTCCAGGTGCCAACATGATGGAAGAGGGCACCCTTGGAAACCCCGCAATGACCCCAAACCCTAAACTCTAAACCCTGGAAAATTCGACGTAAGCATCACTTCCCAGCAGCTCTCTTGGGACCTCATCTGCAGAGAGGCGCTTTCCTCCCATGTATCAGATACTTATAGACTAGGTCTCCCTAGAACCCCGGCGTTCTCATAGGTTTTGGGGAAGTGCACAGACCCTATGCTTCATGACCCTGTTTGATTGTGAGGGAGACCTAGCTTCTTGCATCTGAATGTAGTCTTTGTATTAGGGTTCCGCCTTGGAGCATCCGTTCGGGCTGCGGGCGGTTGGTTCTCTGAACCGCTTTCATTGCTGGGACATCAAAACACGCAGTCCATATAGGGTTTAAGTTGAAAACTTTAGATGTGTTCGGCCTAATTAGGCAGAAGACCTACCAGTACTGTGCAGCTCAAGGGTTGGAAGCAGATTCAGCGTAGGGCCCAGAAGCCAGCCAATCCTGAGCACGCAGCTTCGGCTTTGGATTCCCTAAACAATAAACCGCTTGGTGCCCCCCAATGTAGTTAGTATTGGGAATGAGCCCAGAAGGGCTTCGATGCAGCATGAACGTACATAGTTTGTCCAGTGAGCAAATCATATAACACCTACGTAAACTCCAGCGTCGATGTCATTTTCCATGTTATTGTCCGGCTACTTCTCCGTTATGGGGGTAAGACTCTAAACCCTAAATCCGAAACCCTAAACAAGAACCCTAAATCCTATACCCTAAATCCTTAACCCTCAACCCTATGTAGTCCTTACATTGCCCCCCAGAATCTTCTGCAGCACGGCTGTTGCTCCTCGATCAGCAGGGCCTCACAGTGAGGTGTCCGCAAGGTGGGGCATCTTCTGGCGGTGCCAGGCGAAAAAAGGAGCCGAAACGGTTTAGGGTTTAGGGATGTAGGAGCCCACAATAGGAATTGTAGAGGCGCTTTATGGGGATTATGGGGGTTTAAGGGGTTATGTAGGGGAATTACGTCAATACTGGAGACTCTAATGGAAGAGAAGATGGACAACTTACTGTAGGGGAAATTTGGCTGGGTATAGGGACTATATATTATATCTTACTTCCGGTTAGCAGGGAAGGAAGGAATGGAAAAGAGCATGGAAGCGATAATGGAGGACTATGTAGGGACTACTGTAAGAATCAATTCCGTCATTCCGTGCTAACCACTTGCCAAAGTCAGCCGATGGTTACAAGAAGCCCAAAGCCCAATGCCAAGCGAGGCTTCGTGTTCCTGAGCTCTAAAACCCTAAACCTTCTAGCAAGGATCTTGAAGAACGTCATATTGCTGACAGGGTGATCCTGTAATACGTATAGCTTAGGTGGACCCTCCCACCTGTGATAGTGGCCATAAGGGATGATGGTAATCATACTAGGGTCCTCTTGTATCTCTATTATACCACTATTACAGGGTGGGGAGCCCACCTAAACCCAAAACCTTAAACCCTACTCCCTGAACCCGTGTATAGCTATCAAGTACGGCAAATCCCAGCATTTTGGGTAGGATTTAGGGTAACGAGGGTCGCACGTGATCAGCCAAGAATACACGTAGCATCCCTAACTTGTTTTTTGAGCCCGTGGGATAATCATTGTTCGAGGTTTATTCAATGGGTACGCGAGGAGCTTTCTTCCTGAGCCTGAACTAGGTCCATGTTTCAAAGCCTTTTGCAAAGTTTCGCCAGCTCTTCTCGAGCCTCGAAACATGCCAAAGCAATTAATATGACATGTTGCGTGGACACGAGAGGGCCTTTTAGGTTGCTCCTGTCGTAGAGCACCTTTGGCAGTGTCTTAAGTTCCCCGGGACTACAGTAGGAGGGGATTCGGAGGGAGTGTCATTCAGTTTTGGGGGCCTGAAATGTACGCCTGACGAGATCTCATGCGGAAACCCAACCCTAGAACATAAAATCAAAGGTGGGAACCATTTTGCTAGCAACCCAGGCTTTCATTTCATGCTGCAGATTTTCCATTTGATTCTGAATTCGGCGGGCAGTAAACCTTATATAACCCTTGTAGACGCTTATATAACCTTATGAAACCATACAATCATTCATTCATTACCCTGAACCTTCAGTCCCAACCCCTATAATCACAGGACACGGGCATACCCTAGATCCTAAGTCCTGCATCCTTAAATCCCTAAACCCTACATCCCTAGACCCTACATTCCTGAACCCTAAATCCCTAAATCCCCAAACCCTTAACCCTACACGCTACAGCCGTAAACTCTAAACCCTGGAACCCTAAAAGCCTAAACTCAAAATGCTACATCCCTAAGCCCAAAAACACTGCAGCACACTGAACCAGGCCTCGAAGATGGCAGCTGGCAGTCACGGAATTTCGCAAAAAATGGATTTGCTTCCCAAAGGGCCCATGGGCTTAAGAGTATATACTGGGCCCTAAGGTAGTTACATGGAACCTTTTTTGGACCCCAAGTCCAAAGGACCCCATGTGGCTTAAGAGTATATACTTGGGCCCTAAAGTAATTGCAAGGAACCTCTGTGGGCCATAACCTAACCCTAAACCCTAAAAACCTTAAAGTAAATACTATGTACCTACATGCCCTACATGGACCCTTGGGGCTGCCTGATGGTGTGATGCATACTGCCCCCCCCCTCAGTAACAGGTGGATCATGGTTACACTACAATGATATGAAGCCCTCATACGGACGGTTTAGGGTTTAGGGTTTAAGGTTTAGGGTTTAAGGTTTAGGGTTGAGGGTAGACTGTTATTGTGCAGTACTCTTTTGTGGAATGCCGCTTGAACTCTTTTGCTGTTGTTGATGTATAGTAAGCAGCAAGTTTACTATGAGAGTGTAAACCAGATTTCCTCGGATTTGGGCAAAAGCTTCTAGATTTCCTACATGGTTCCCTGCTCGCACGTAGTGAGCTGCTGTTGTGTTCTGATGTCTTCTCGTACCGGATGGGATCATGCTAATATCTTGACAGGGTTATGAATGGATCCTAGTTGTGATGTGCAGCTTCCAATGCAGAACTTACCTGGATGTTTGCAAAGAGTCCGGAGTCCCTTTCAGTCCCCCTCCCTCCCCAAACACTATGTGGAAGCCCAACAAGCTACCCGACCCCTATTCAGAGATTACCCCCCTGGAATTTTCATTATGTGGAAGCCCCCAAAGGCACCCGTGATGTTTGGAATCCCCTTTTTGGAAAGGCTGAGACCCTGGTCTTGAAACTTCATACCCAAACCCCCAAAGGGATCTAAAAATTAGATCCCCTAGGACCCTATGGGAAGATATATAAGGATTCTATAGGGGTTATAATGGGTCTACATAGGGGATCTAATTTTTAGATCCTCCCAGGGGTCTGGGTAATGTTCTGCTTCTTCCAAAACATAGATCACCCGAAGCTCCCGGAGGACCTCTCATAGCCCCAAGTCCTAGGAAGTCATGAGGAATAGGGTTTAGGGCTTAGGGATTTAGGGTTTAGGGATTCAGGGTTTAGGGTTTAGGGCTTAGGGGGGAAGAACATGAGTTTTTTCGGAGGGATATCCGTATCTT